ATGCAATGTCAATCGTTATCTACTGTCTTCTTGATTCCTCTTCCTTTATTGTTCTCACTTCTCGCCTATGGAACTCTCTTCCGGCTTCATGCTTTCCAGCCAACTTTGATCTTCAAAAATTTAAATGCAATGTCAATCGTTATCTACTGTCTTCTTGATTCCTCTTCCTTTATTGTTCTCACTTCTCGCCTGTGGAACTCTCTTCCGGCTTCATGCTTTCCAGTCGATTATAGTAGATTATAGAATAAAGGTTTTAAAAGGTTCAAATTAATTAATACAGTATTCGTATTTTGATTGGTCATTTCAGCTTATGTGACAGCGTTTCCCCTTACGAGGGGTGGTTAATTAATTTGAACCTTTTAAAACCTTTATTCTGCAATCTACATTCAACATCATCACTTGATAAGACACCAGAAGTGTTGAAACAAAATGGCTATTTTTGTAGTGATTTTATAACATATTTAGGTTATAATTTTTAAATAAATAATTATATTCGCTCTACTCTGTTTTTAGCATTCTTTTAAGAATAGTAATTGTTGGTTATTGGAATTTATTCCGTCGACACCAATCATAGACTTGGGTATATATATATATATATATATATCAGTTTTGGAATTAAATTTCCTGCTGTTTTTAATTAATATCAACCAGCTTAGATTGTGAAATAAGAGAATACACGTTCAATTCCTGTCGAGAGGTAAATACAGGATTTCTCGAACTAGACTTACAATAAGAAAAAAAATTACATCGATACACAAAAACATTCATTTTTCAGTACTAAGATTGTACTCCGTCAGGCGATGGTAGATAACGATGTTGATAAAAATGATTTATTAGGGAAATTCCAAAAGACATCGTTATCTCTTTTCGGAAATTAAAGTCTATGCCCCCACCTTTAACTTGTTTGTATATATATATATATATATATATATAAGTAAAATAATCATCCCGGTAAGATGAGAACGGATAGAGTACAATTCCAACGTTCGTAACATTTAATTTAAAAGAGGGCTCAATACAGATTAGAGCGAAATATTTATTTTAAGATATTAAATCAAAAACGTCAAAAATCGTGACACAATTGCAGTCGGGTCTCGAGGCATTTCAATGCGTCTCCTAAGTTGATTGTAAATTACTGGCAAGTGAACGAGTAATTTAACCCTAGAACACTAACCATCAATTAAAGTTACACCACTACTAACCATGGTTATATTATAACCGATTTTAAAAATATAAAAAAAAAAAAAAAAATTGAATATAAATCTTTATTTGAAATATCTTACATGCAGTCACTTCAAACTTTGTAATTTGAGTTAACATTAATAGGAACTGAACAACATTATTTAGGAAAATCAGTACTGAAAATTGTAATTAAACATTTGCGCTGGGTACTATATACCCATTGTTAGTGTTCTAGGGTTAATTTCAAAAGCAAAATACCTCCTCTTTTTTCGAGAAAAAATATTGGCTTTAGGGTTTAACCTTGATCAGCCAATCGAAAATAACATACGTTAAATTCAAACTAAGATGAAAAAGAAAGCAAAATTAGAAAAGGGTAATGACAGGAAGTTCTCTGAAACGGATCGCAGACATTAGATTAAAAACTGATATAGAAGGTTACGTTAATTCATAAAGTGTACACAAATTAGACTATCAGAAAAAAGTCGTTAGAAACAAAGAAAAGAGTACTGAGCTGTTATATGATATTAGGCCTTCTATATGGCAGTGAATGCTAGACAATCTTCTCACATATTAAGAAGAATCTTGAAGCAACAGAAATATGGTTTCTACAGAAGGGAGCTGAAAATAACATCAGCCGAACATGTGAGCAACCATGAACTTTTACAGAAAATGGAAACAAAAAAAAAGACACTAATACTTAACATCAGGAAGAGGCAAGTGAAATTTCTAGGGTACATAATTAGGAAAAAAGGCTTGGAAATTTTGATACTCACAGGAAAGATTGAAGACAAGGGAGCTTGAGTAAATGGATGGCGGAACAAATTTTAGGAGAGATAACAAAAAGATCAAATTTATTAATGGCTATATTGGACGGGAAGAGACGGTTGAAATTTCTAGGACATGAGGAAAGAGGGCTTGGAAAGTTTGATACTCACAAGACATATTGAAGGCAAGAGAGACAGAGGAAAACAATGCATAACCCACGTAGCGAGTTTGAGTAAATGGATGGCGGAACAAGGTTTAGGAGAGATAACAAAAAGACAGAATTTATTAAGTGCTACAAATTACAGGAAGTTGTAGAGAGCCATGATCGTCAACGTCCTGAAAGGACACGACACATAGACGAAGAAGAAGGAGAATAAAGAAATATTTAAAACCTAATTTTAAAGCGAGATTTGGTAATGGGTCGTTTTTCAGCGTTGAAGGAAGGAATGGCGGACGTCAGAAGAAATGGCGGGCGCCAGTCGGATTAAAGGAATATTTGAGCCTTTTTGCTCTCAAATATCCGAAATTTCTAATATACGTGGGTTTTACATTAAACAAGCTTGGGAACCCTTGTCTGTGTGTAACTCCCTAACCCTTTCCAGGGAAGCAAGCTCTGCTGCTATGAATATTTTGTGTAAGCCAACTCGCACAGAGTTTGACACAAGGTCGGAGTTTAAAGTGGGTAAAAAGTAAAAATATTCAGAAGCTTTATTTTTCAATTTTAATTTAGTTTTAGCGCATTTAACAATTTATAGCTATAGCAAAACATACAAATAAAGCACGACAAATTCTAGAATATTCTATAAAGTTCTAGAAAGCTCTAGGAAGTTCCACACGGTTTCAGAAAGTTCTAGAATGCTCCAGAGACTCATAGTACTACTATATTTATATATGATTTTACAAATTTCGTTTTAGTGGGTGGGGGTGACATTTAAGAAAAACTGAATTAAACCTTTCTTTCTTAATTTTGAACAAAAGTTAATAGAATTATGATACAGGAAATCAATTATTTTTCAAAATGTCATAACCCTAGTGGCACCCCAGGCGCAGAATAATAACCCCAACACTCCCCCGAATGAGAGGTAATGCCATGGGCGATGCCCTCGTGGGACTCGGTAACTTGCTGCTATGTTGCTAAATATACCTACTATTTTGTTTAGTCTTGGACTATATAACGCTGTGTCTGTTTTTTACTGCATATAACGGTATACTTCGAGATGAGGTACCACTGTGAGGTACCGTATCCTGGGTATGACAATAAACTACATCCGGCTGCAAGGCCTCTGATAAAGAGGTTTTGAGGAGCGTGGAACCACCTCTTAATTGCTGTTATTCTCAGGTCCTCACTGATCCGAGGTTATGGCACCTGTTATGGTTCCAACTATGGGCAAATAGTTAACCCCCAAATGACCCATGTGAGAGTTGATTTGCCGCTAAACAAACAAACGAATCTATTCTTAAAATATTGTCAGCAATAAATAACCCATTGAGGTTGGTATACCGTAAAAGAACATAAACCCAAACGGTGATGTACCAAAGATATTTCTTAAGTCTGACACAAGACCATGAGTAAGAGTAACCGTGCAAGGATCATGAACACTAAGCAGTTGTAAGGTCAGACGGATGACCTCATTAACCTTTATAGAGCATAAACTTTCCTTTTTCTTTCATACATTGACGCGCCCTCTCTTTTTGTCTGTCTGTCTGTCTGTCTCTCTCTCTCTCAATTTTTATACTCCTTGAACTACAGATTCACAAATGAAGAACAGTACCAAATAACAGAAACCACATCACTTGAGGACTACCAACAGCAGCAACAACTAAAATAGATAGCATATGCATGACACCAAACTCGTTCAGAAATATCATAAACTGTCAGCTGTATAGAACTGCATTCTAAGATCGATTGTTAAAAAAGGCTTTGAGCGAGTAAAGCCTGAGGGTTTTGGCAAAGTTCATCTTTCTTTGAACATTGAGGGCTGGCGCTACACAATCATAAATAAAGAACTGTTGCAAATCACAGAAACCACATCACTTGAGGACTTTCAACAGCAGCAACAACTAAAATGGATAGCACATGTAACCCAAGGAGAAAATAATGGTATAATCAAGATGTTGATATTCCACACAACTTGAAGCAAAAGGTTAGGAAGGAAACTCCATCAATACTGGAAAGACCAATAACAGTGAACTTTATCAGGACACCTTACAACCGCTTCCTAAGATCAATGATGAAAAACAAAAGACACCTTTGAGCGAGTGAGGCCGGAGGGTCTTGCTAAAGATCATGCTTCTTTGAACATTGGGGACTGACGCTACAAAATCACAAACAAGGAACTGTACCAAATAACAGAAACCACATCGCTTGGGGACTTTCAACAGCGGCAACAACTAAAATGGATAGTACATGTAACTCAAAGAGAAAATAATGGCATAATCAAGATGTTGATATTCCACATTACTTGAAGCAAAAGGTTAGGAAGGAAACACAATCAACACTGGAAAGAGCGATAACAGCGACTGGACTTGAAAAATTTACTTTCTTGAAAAATAGTTTTTAGAGAAAGTAGCGATGGCTGTTTGGTCAATGAATGCCAAATGTTTCCTTATAAGGAAACGACAAACAACACAATTAGCATTAAAAGAGTATTACCATTCTTTCTCTCTTACTCTCTCTCTCTTTCTCTCTTATATAAACATTCTCTCATGCACCAACGTATTCTCTCTCTTTCTCTATCTCCATAGGCACACTCACCAAAAGCTGGCCATACTTTCTCTCAGAAATACTTCTGACACACCAACGCGCAACATGTCCCCCCGTTTCTCCTCCATTCACACCACCTGAGACCAAAATTTTACCATTCTCTCTCTCTCTTTCATAGGCAGTCTATCACATACCAATGCGCACTCTCACCGAACAACACTCTCTGACATCCAAGCGATACCAACTTTCGTCTCGCTCATAGAAATTCTCCTCACGCACCAAAGTGGGCTCTCTATCTTGCTCCCCACAAAGACTCTCCATGACACGGCAGCCTTGTATTCTTTCCCAGTTTCATAGACATTCTCTCAGACAACAAAGCTATCTCTCTCTTTCCCATACACGCTCTCAGACATCAAAGCGATAACTTCTTTTCTATTTCTCATATAAATTATTCTTACACACCAAAGCGCATTCTCGATTTGTCCTTTCTCTCTCATAAACATTCTCTGACACTAAAGCCTTACTGTTCTTTCTCTCTCATAGATATTCTCTCACAAATCCACGCACTCTCTACCTTTCTCTCATCCTCCCCCTCTCTCCCTCATACACACTCTCTGACATCAATGCTTTACTATTTTTCTGTCTCATAAACATTCTCTCACAAACTCATGCGCAGTCTTCCTTTCTCTCTTCCTCTCCCTCTTTCTCTGATACACACTCTGACATCAAACCATTTTCATTCATTCTGTCAGAGACGTTATATAACAAGCCAACGCACACTCTCCCTTTCTCTCTCTCACCTCTCTCTCTCTTTGTCATACACATTCTCTGACACCAAAGTCTTACCATTGTTTCTCTCTCATAAACATTCTCTCACAAACCCACGCGCACCCTTAATTTCTCTCTTCTTCCCCCTCTCGCTCTCTCTCATAAACATTCTCAGACACTAAAGCGTTACTGTTCTTTCTCTCTCAGACATTCTCTCACAATTCCACGCGCTCTCTACCAGTCTCTCTTCCTCCACGTCTCTCTCTCATACACACTCTCTGACACCAAAGCCTTACTATTCTTTCTGTCTCATAGACATTCTCTCACAAACAAATGCGCGCTCTTACTTTCACTCTCCCCACTCCCTCTCTCCCTCTCATGCACACTCTCTGACACCAAAGCCTTACCATTCATTTTCTCTCATAGACATTCTCTCACATATCCACGGGCTCTCTTATTTTCTCTCTCCCCCTCTCTCTTATACACATTCACTGACTCCAAAACCTTACCATTCTTTTTCTCTAATAGACATTCTCTCACAAAGCCACGCGTACTTTTCCTTTCTCTCTTCTTCCCACTCCCCCTCTCTCTCTCTCACTCATCCACACTATCTGACTCCAAAGCCTTACTATACTTTCTCTCTGATAGACCTTCTCACACAAACCTTCGCGTACTCTTCCTTTCTCTCTTCTTCCCCCTCTCTCTTTTATACACACTCTCTGACACCAAAGCCTTACTATTTTTCTGTCTCATAAACACTCTCTCACAAACTCACGCGCAGTCTTCCTTTCTCTCTTCCTCTCCCTCTTTCTCTGATACACATTCTGACATCAAACCATTTCCATTCATTCTCTGTCAGAGACGTTATATAAAAAGCCAAAACACACTCTCACCTCTCTCTCTCTCTCTCTTTGTCATACACACTCTCTGAGACCCAGGTCTTACCATTGTTTCTCTCTCATAGACATTCATTCACAAATCCACGCGCACTCTTCCTTCTCTCTTCCTCTTTCCATCTCTCTCTCATATAAACACTCTCTGACACTAAAGCCTTACCAATCTTTCTCACTCATAGGCACCCCCCTCCGCATTTTCTTTTCTCTATTCCTCTCCCACCTTTCTCTCTTTGTCATACACACTCTCTGGGACCAAGGCCTTATCATGCTTTTTCTCTCATAG